AATAAAATTAATAATATTTTGAAGAAAAATATTATTATTTAACTCAAATTCATTTAAAAAACCAAAAAAAATAAAATTATCAACTTTTTTCTTGAATGCTGCGAGATTTTCAGTTTGATAAAGAGCCGCCTTATCCAAAGATTCAGCAGTAACCAATTTTAATGCGTCATTTAAACATGTTAATTCTTGGTTTTGATTGGTTAATTCATCAATATTGTTTTGCAAATCATTCACTTGATTTAATAATTCATTGTTCTGTTTGATTAGTTCGTCACAATCTAAATGAAAAGCAATATTTTTTTGAAGAAGTTCAGTATTTTCATATAATAAATTAATATTTTCTTGAATGCTAGTACTTATTGATAAACCTGATGCCATTTTATAAAGATAGATAAAGATTATTAATTTTATTTATATAAAAAAATAGATACAATTTAAAATAATAATATTAAAAAAGTATAAGAATATATAAAAATTTAATGTTCATTTAAACCATGATTATCTAATTAATAAAAACTAATATTAAATTTTGTTTTTTTTTTGTCAAGAAGTATATATTCACTATCATCAGAATCAGGTTCAGATAATTCACTTCTAAGCCGCAGTAAAATAATTAATGATATTTTTATTAAAACTTCAAAGTATTCAGATTTTGGCAAAAACGTATTTGAATTCATTTTTAAATATATTAATTATAGTAGAATAAAATACAAAGTTTTGAATATTATTAAAATATATTTTGATTGGTTTAAAAAATTACTTTAAATAAAAGTATTAAAATTGATAACAATAGTTATAAATTCTAAGTTCTAAAATAATAAAAAAATAATAAAGATAAAAATAAAATTCATTAAAAATTATTACAAATTACTAGAAGAACCAATAAAAATAGTTATAAAAAATTTATTAATTTAGTAATATTAACTTTTAAATTTAAGTATAAAATTTATAGATTTTCTTTCAAAACATCAATTACATGTGTGTGTAATTTTATAACTCAAATCAAATATCAAATTCAGATATACAACTTTTTATTATGTTTAAAATTTTCTTTATTTATTAAAAAATGTCTTTCTTCAAGAAACTCGCTGCTAAATTTAACAACAAAAAAGTTCTAACAAGAGAAGTGCAGCTTGAGAAATTAAACTTTAAAAGCTAGAATGATGATTATCAAGAAAACTGGCCTGAGCATCAACAAGAAAATGAAAAACTATGGAACTGTGATGAAAAAGAATCCACTTGTTCGAATCTTTCTAAGGTTTCAGACATAGTTGTTGAAAAGACTAATGAAAATTACTTTGAATTTGAATTATTGGTTCTGGTGTTGATATTGATGCCCTTTTCAGCAGTGTTGAGCTGGATTTGCGGTGTTCTACTAATATATAGAGCAAAATTCTTGTTGGCAAAATTGAGATTAGCAGATAGCAATTATATTACTTTTCTTGATCCTCTCTTGATAAAATATAGCCAGACTTCGATTAAAGATGTTTTTCAATACTCCAATAGACCTATTGAAGACACGATAAACCAAATATTGGAGGATGGAATTGATTGTTTGAAGAATATACCTGCTATTGAAGTTTGTATCATTAATGAAATATATTATTCTTCAGATAATCGAAGATTGTATTGTATCAAAGAAGCAATTAAGAGAGGGTTAAAAGTTGAAAAGATATCTATCTTGATCAAAATAGTAACAGATACGAATATTTAATATAAATTAGATAAGTCTTATTTGATTATTAAAAATAAAAATTTTAATGATATTATAGTATCTCAATATGCAAGAAATGGTAGAGTTGTAGATGAAAAAGAAATGAAAATTTGGGATTCTTAGATAATTTAATACCTTATAATCGATGTTGATTCAAAAAATCAATTATTAAATCTAAGTTTTTGTTAAATAATTCTTTAGCAACTTCTACTTTTATTTGTTCTTGTAATAAAGAAATATTTAAATTATTCAAATAAATAATATAATATCCAGCAATAAATATTATAATTAAAATAATAATAAATTGTAAGAAGATTATATTTCGATAAAATGAAATAGTATCTTCAAATTTATTGAAGTTATTTAAATATTCTTGTGTAATTGTACGAGAAAGATAAGATAATCCATCTTCTGATTCAGAATTATAAGAAGACATTTTGTTTTTGTTTGTAAAAAAAATTAAAGAAATTTTGTAAATAAATTTGAAAAACGAAAAAATCGTTAAAATGTTAGAAGAAAAAAACAGACATATTTTTATTCTAAAAACAATTTTCTAATTGGTTATTATTTTATTAAATAAAATTTCTTTTTCAATTAATTATATTTGTAAAATAAAATTAAAATATAATTTATATATATATATATTTTTTTAAGCAGTCTTGTCTTTATTTATTTGAACCACTATTTAACTATTATACATGTATAATTGACTATATAGTGT